CACTCAGCCCCTAATTCATGTTTAGTTTATCTTGTTCACCAGTCCATACTGATTTCTATTACTCTAGGATCTAACTTTTCCTTCGGTTAGTCACGTTAGAGTTGCGAACTTATTTCTCGAAATGAGGATGTGACTGTATGGCCTACACTCTTTTGTTGTCTTAAGGCCCATCACCTCTCGTCTCTTTCTTCATTTGACTATAGATTTTGTATCACTCTACCGTTGTCGTCCATGTATCACATCGCACTCATAATGCTTCATTAACCCTCTTCGTACTTCCCTGCTAATATTTATGTCTATCACTTTATTCTGAAAACTTCAACAAGACATTCTTTTTCTTTTACCTCCCCTTGCTCCATCTACTAGCTCTTCGGGTTGCCTAACATTCTCCCTCTACTAGGGACGGGAGCCACACTAAGGTAATATTTATCCCTTCAAGGCTTCCAGTGCCTATCTTTGTAGTGCTCATATCTAGCTGTACTATTTTAGAGTGCACCATCTGGGTGTCTCACAAGGAGATCTATTAGCACCTTTGTAATATCCTTCGGAAATGTCAACTAACTCAAAAATAATTCATCTATCATTTTGGGTTACTCCAACCCCAGCCAAATCCTGATATCTCGTCCTTCTCTTATACTGCTTTTGTTGACCCCCATAGGACATAACTGGAATGGGTGTGACCAATTATACATACCTCTGTTACTATTGAAGGTAACTCAAAAGTTTTATATTCCTCTGCCTGAGTTGTAAATACTGTTAACCTTCATTAACTAGGTACCTCATACCCTTCTTCCTCTTGCTTCTTTTACTTGCTGAAACTTGTGTCTACCTCCCGATTCTCTTATTCCTTTTTACCGTAAGAGTGAATAGACATTCTTGCCTTAGGAATCCTTATCAAGAAACTCACGCATCTTTGTATCCATATGTTCTGCTGAAGACCTTATATTTACTCATCATAAGCATGATGCAAAATCGAGTTCCTCTGACTTAATTCTTCCACAGCCGTATTCAATCCCCTACCAACCGTCTTTCTAGATGTAATATAATAAAATTTAGGAATCTAAATTCTTACAAGTGAGCTCTACCGCACGATCTAGAGTAAGAAGAAAGAGTGACAGTCTTAAATATCCCGTAGCCTCCTGCTTATAAGTGTGGTGCACAACACACCCATAAACAAGACTCTACTAGACACGACTTGTAGACTCCCTAGGACAGAACTGCTCTGATACCACTTCTGTCACACCCCGAACCTGGGGGCGAGACCGGCACCCGGTGCCTCACTTATGCTTGCGTACCAACTTACGACTAAGGGAATCTGAACATTTGTTGTCATACTTTGGCCATGGGCCACATTTCAAGACAACTGCGATTGCTGACTAAATATCAATATAAAGCTAGGTCGACAAGGCCGTTGTACTTACTACAGCTGACAGCCTAACCAAATATACATACAAGGCCTACAAGCCCATCATACTGCACTAACTGACAGAATATGTCTACAAGCCTCTACTGATGGATATATTGTGATCGGAATAGGGCCCCGACCTACTCATAATGTATATACATATATAAACAAAATGTACATAAAGCTCTAAATCCGGCAACTCCGAAGAGCATAGAGCTTACCGATCAAGCTGAACTCGGGAAACACCTAATGAGGAGATCTACACGCCTGTCTGTCTGAACCTGCACGCATGAAATGCAGCGCCCCCAGAAAAAGGGACGTCAGTACGAAATAATGTACCGAGTATGCAAGGCAATATACAGAAAGCTGAAACTGAACTGATAATATAATAACTAAAAGTAACTGGGAGTCAAAGATAATCTGAAGATATGCTCCCCTACTGATACTAACCCAACTCTCTCAATATAGTAAGTAAAATAGATGTTCGGCCCTATGAGGCTCGGTATATATATATATATATATATATATATATATATACATATAAAACTGCTCTGTCGTAGTAGGCTCGCTCATAGGCTCTCGGGCATACTAGACTCTGTATCTCGACCAACTAGGCTCCCTCATAGGCGCTCGACCACAGTAGGCTCGGTATATAACTTACCATCTGATTTGAGGTCGCCCAATAGGGGCCTGCCTATCGATTATAGCTCGATGGTAATGAAATACTGTATATATGAACTCTCTGCTCTCTTGACTGGAAGAAGGAAATACTCAAATGAATATGAAGTCTCGATAAAGAGAATATTGTAACTTACAAAACTAGAAAAATATAGGTAACTTGCGAGACTAGCAAAATATACGTAAATTTCGGGATATGAATTTTTCTTTATGCCTCGTTATCAAACTCGTGTAATTACGAGATCATGCCAAAATGAAGGAAGAGCTTAGCCTTAACATACCTGAGCCGATTCTTTTGACAATCCTTCTAACACATCCAATCGCGATGAACCACGTAATGGCGGATCGGAGAAGGGGGAAAATCCATATAATATTCTTGAGAAAGATTGCACCGTACTTCCTTATAATTACAAAATATCACGTTACTTTGAATTGTTGAAGACCTTACATGCTTAGGTGATATATGCAGATGCATATTTTGAACACTCACGTTACTTACCATTTTACTTGCAAAGATTTTCTTACAAAATCTTACTTAGTCATCCTACAAAATCTTAAGGTTTTTGGATGCCTTATATGTGGATGTGGCATCCACTATATCCCATAATTTGCCACCTTATCTAATGACTTAATGAGTCATGAATGATAAGGTGGTTTGCTGCCACATGGGGAGGGGACTTATCCTTATCACAATTTCCAAACCACTTAGTTCCTTAATTAATTGTAATCCCCATTAACCAATAATTATCTATTTATCCACACTATTAGGAATTATCTCAAATTACTTGAAATACTACTTACTTTTAACACACCTTATACACCTTACTATCGTGGTCATGTGGTACCTTGTATGGCACTAGTCCATAAATATCGAGTATTTTAGTTCGGGACATATTTTATCGCAACATGCCAACTTTGACGAAATTTATTTTCTTTGATTTGCTTACCCTCGCACCTTCACGAATTTACTCATTACTTGTTTGAAATAGCATAATGCTTATAATCTCAAAATAATCTCATTTGCGAACTTACGTCGATTAAATCTGAATTTTCGTAGTATTCAAGTTATTGCTACTCTTGGCAACGACTATGGAGGTTTATGGTGGTGTTTACATGAATCTTTAAACTAAGAAGGAAAATTTATCAAATGGTCAAAGAAGATTGGGGGATGGGTTGGTGGGAAATTAGTCTTAGCTAGATAGGTATATATTGTAACAAGTTTAAAACTAGGCAAGAACTCGTAAATATTTTGGTGTTTATGGTATTTTGTGTTGTTTCCTCTTTCTTTTAAGTTACCAAACGAGAGGCCGGTGCAATGATTAAGAGGGTGTTTGGCTAAGCTTATAAGCTGGTCAAATTAGCTTATAAGCACTTTTTGATTTATCTACGCGTTTGGTAAAATTAAAAGTGCTTATAAGTCAAAATAAGCCAAAAGCCATAAGCTGATCACCCCCAACTTATGAATTTTTAGCTTATAAGCACTTTAAGTTTGACCAAGATTTTTACTATTTGATCCTTAAAATATTCTTTTTTAGAACAAAACTCTTAGATACTCACTGCATTAAGTATTGTTTCAACCTAAACCCCCATCCCCTCCTGCCTCTTCAAGTCTGCAATTCACATTGACTATTTAAGATAAGCAAATTGTCTATTCCTTTGCATATTTGTATCTATATAATTGTGTATTAATCTTTGAATTGTATGTAATGAATGGAGACACATCAAATTTTTGGTGTATTGCTTTCAAAGTGTTGTGGTGATGAAGATAGTGTTTGTTTCTCTTCAAATATTTTGTCCTATTTAGGTTTATATTTTACTGAGAAACTTTTGTCAATTTATTAATTATTATAACTTATGATTATATGCTTCTCATAAAATAAATTATATTTATCATAAAAATTATCTTATCTAAGTACAATTATATTTAAAATAACATGACAAATATAATATTTTGTATTTGAAACGATTTGGAATCTAAAGAAATTACGCCCTTATAAGTGTAAATAGTTCTAAGGTTATTTAAGTCATTTTAACAGAAAAAGAGCTTATTAGCATTTTTTATAAAATACTGCAACAGCTTATTATCAATTTCAGCACTTGTATCCAAACACGTAACTGCTTATTTATTAAATCAATTTCAGCACTTAAAAGTGCTTTTCAGCACCTAATGCTTATCATCTACTTCAAATCAGCTAATCCAAACGGGCTCTAAGCAGATTTATCCATCCGATAATATATATTAAAATAATTAATTAAATAATATAAATAATACTCCTTTCGTTCACTTTTACTTGTGAAGTATTCTAAAAATAAATTTATACTTTTACTTGTCAATTTTAGCATATCAAGATAAGATAATTTCTTTTTCCTGTTATACCCATAATATTAATTACTCAGTTCAAATCATTTTCTAATTCATTAAAAATATGCATCAATTAATACATAGGTATAATGATAAATTATGCACTTCATTCATTAATTTTTAAGCGTGTGCATAACTCATAATGGACATGGAAGGAGTAAAGTAGTACTCCTTCCGTTCACTTTTAGTTATCAACTATTCTAAAAATTAATTTTATTTTTACTAGTCACTTTTTGCATATCAAGAGAAAAATAATTTATTTTTCCTATTTTGCCCTTAGCATTAATTACTCATTTCAAATTATTTTTTAGATCTATTAAAATTATATATCAATTAATATAAATATTATGATAAATTATGTATTTTATTTATTATTTTTTAAGGACGTGAAAAATCTGAAATGGACAACTACTGAATGAAGATAGTAAATTAGAATCTCGAAACTATTTCTTCCCTCTATGAGAAAGGATCCAAAAATACGTGGCACAATGAGTATGACCTTTTTCCTTAAAAAAAAAAGATTGGTTTTTTTTTTACTGCCCTTTTGGTGTTCCTTTATGATATCACATGATTGAGCAGAATCTTTTCTTCTGCATCACTTTGTATTTATCTGCAAGAATTGCCAGAGCCCTAACTCCACCATTTATTCACTAGAATTTTGCTCGGCTAAAAAAAGATAGACAGTGGCTCGGAGATGGATTGGTGGGTGTCAATGCCAAAAATTGAACTACATGCTCACCTTAATGGCTCTATCAGAGACTCCACTTTGCTGTATGTTACTCTCTTTCTTCATATGATTCTTGGAAAATATAAACAAATATTTATGTCTGTTGATTTCTTGGGAACAATTGTTTAAAAAGATATTCCTATCTGTTGACTTCTTCTTGGATTCTTGGGAACAAATAAAGAAAAGAAAATAATGGTTCTTGGGTGGTGTTCGTGTTTTGTCCCCCATCTTTCTGGGGTGAAGTTAAAAGGTTTTTTTTTTCTTCAAAAAAAAGTAGTAAGGCCATTTGTGTAGTGTTTGCTTGCATTTTGAGTTGTGTGTATGCTGCTGGGAGCAGAGGATACTACTAAAAAAGGGAGGAAAAATTGTATTAAGTTAGAATTGATCCCTATTCTTCTTGCTAAATAATTCGACTTTCAACCAAGTGCACTATTCACTTCTTAGGATATGGGTGCCAACAGTTAATGTTATGAAAATATGTATATAAAATATCTAATGTTGCAGAGAGACCATCGGTTAAAACCCTAAAAATATATCATAAGCGTAGGAATAGGTTTAATTTGATCCCACACTAGAGTTAAGTACCTCAAGTTTGTAAAAGTGGATCACATCTAGTTCATGGCTAACCCACAACAATATACCCAGTATTGAGTATTATCCCACACCGTGGGGTCCGGGGAGGGTAGTGTGTACGCAGACCTTACCCTTACCTTGTGAGGATAGAGAGGTTACCAATAGACTGGCTAACCCACAATGACTAAAAGAAAAACCTCTATGCTTAACTAGAAGTCAATGGTGGAGCTAGGAATTCATACAAGGTGATTAAAAAATATTCTAGGATGTCACGACTAGAATTTGAACCTATGATCCAAAGAAAAAAAGAAAAAGAAAAAAGAAACCCCTTTGCCTTTACACTAGGAATTATGTCAAGGGATTCAGTGAAACATTCGATTTTGCCTATTTGTGAAGAATAATTTTCCGCCATATTGAATTTAATTGAATCGTGTTGCTCCACCTAGCTGAAAGCAATAGGAAGAAAAGTTTCACAAGTATTCCGATCATAATTGCAATAGGCTGTTGTTGAGACAACACTCTATCAAAATGTGGAAAGTAGGAACCTCTATTCATCAACATAGTGTCCATATTTTTCTTTAACAAGGTGTTAATATAACCTTCTATTGTTTAGGACTCCTTTTGTTATCTTTTTTTTTTCAAGGGGCATTCCATACAATGAGTTTTTGCTGTTAGCCTTTCTAGATTCTATTAGCCACGAACTATAAGTGATCCGCTTTTGCAAATAGAAGGATCAAGTTAAAATCAACCCCTATATCAACCATTTTGGTTATTTTCTCTTGCTGGGATATATAATCTTAATATTTCAGAGCCAGTTTTGTTGCTTGAGTTGGAGAATTAATCTCCTCATTAAGTTCAGCATAACCAATACTTTGTTTAGTTTTTAGCATATACAACGTTTGGTCACAATTTTGCATTTTCTTATAAATAATACTCGCATAAGTTATCTTTTTATTGTTTTATGTGGGGTTAAAATGTGAAATAAAAATACGTGTATTAGACTATTTAAAGGAAACAATGCCTTTAAAGTAAGTGGTTCTTGTATAACATTATTACCACATAAACAATCCATACATTACTAATCCTTGTATTTCTATTCCTTGTCGTTCCCTTGCTTTAAATTCTGTTTTGGCATTTGGTCTTGGTTTAGTCGTATATGCTAAAAAACTTCTCTGTTGGTCTATTATTTATTTTTCAGGGAACTTGCTAGAGAATTGGGTGACAAGGGTCTCGTAAGTTTCCCTGATGTGGAGCACGTTATTGTAAAACGTAAGCCAATTTTAATCTTGTGCTTTTAATAAGAATATTATTAGCTCCTTTTTTTAATTATTTTTTGGTATCTTGAAACTTTCCTTGAGCTATGTGATTCAGATGATCGTTCCCTTTCTGAAGTCTTCAAATTGTTTGATTTGATTCACATTCTTACAACTGACCATGAAACTGTAACCAGAATTACTAAAGAGGTACTCTGTTAGTGCAGTAGTCCAGACTTAATTTCGCGTAATGTATGTTGCAGTTATTTGATTCTCTTTGTTATCATGTCCATCAAAAATCAGGTAATTGAAGATTTTGCTGCTGAAAATGTTGTATACTTGGAGCTAAGGACAACTCCAAAGGTACTTGAATTTTTACATCAGCTTGATTGATAGGTTCCTAATTTATATAATTATTGTGCTTGTATTTACAATGAGATAAAAAGTATTTGTAAAATGGAGTAATGTGGTCAGTAAAAATTCATATAGCTGATTCCAACTTGTTTGGGATTGAGGCGTAGTTGTTGTTTTCTATTTACAGTGAATTAATTAGGAGGATTGTGACAAATCAGCTTTCAGCTGGAGTGTGCTCGGCGTTTGAAGATTGAGATTATAATTAGCAAGCATAGCACGGTAGAATTAAGTGAACCAGATGCTTGACATGTTGTTTTTCTGTTAGCTTCGCGTAGCTCATTACCACTAGTTTCTGGAAATGACTGTGTTAAAAGAATATATAAACGGGAAATATGAATGCAAATGCATCTTTACATATTTGATCCCGTGTATCCTGTTCCTACTTTTTAAGGAAATTGGTTTGCTGAAAAGGGTGTTAAGTTCAATTAGTTCACAACTGCAAAAGGCTTCTTCACATATTACTGTTCAAGTTCGTTCATAAGATACAATTCTGATATTTATAGATCTTATTTTATATATATGTCTTTTCTGAATGCAGAAGAATGTTTCCAAAGGGATGAACAAGAGGTCATACATAGAAGCAGTTTTGGAGGGTTTAAGAGCTGTTACTACCGTCGAGGTTGATTTTTTAAATGAACCTAGTATTGATTCTCAAGCTAATGGCGGTATTTATGCTCGGAGTGATGGTTATGCTAGCAATGGAACAGAAAGAAAGAAAATATTTGTCAGACTTCTACTTAGTATTGATCGTCGTGAATCCACTGAAGCTGCAACGGAAACAGTATGTTTCTGTATCTGATGCATAAAGACGTTAAAGGTTTATATATGTTACTTAAAGTCCTAGGCTTGATAAGTTCTTTGTGGTTGGTGAAGGTTAAGCTTGCGCTGGAAATGAGACATCAAGGGGTAGTGGGTATTGACCTATCCGGCAATCCTATCATTGGTGAATGGTACTATTTTGCTTGAAAAAGATTTTTCTATTGCATACTAATTTTGCCTTGCATTGACGATATAGCCTATAAAGCTTTGAATTTCTGGATACGTTTTTCTTTGTAGGCTAACCTTTCTGCCCGCTTTGGAGTTTGCTAAAGAGCAAGGACTTCTGATAACCCTTCACTGTGGCGAGGTGCATCTGGCTTCGCTAGTTTGTCCAGCTTTTGTCAGTATCATTACTGTAATCTCTCTGACTGGTTTATTTGGTACTTAGTGCTTTTAGGTACCTAATCTGGTGGAAATCCACGCGATGCTAGATTTTCTCCCCGCAAGAATTGGCCATGCTTGTTGCTTTGGAGAGGAAGAATGGGCAAAGCTAAAATCCTTAAAGATACCGGTTAGAAATTTTGCATGTGTTCCCTTCTTTTTTTATTTTTTTTTCTCTAGGACATTCTTTTTTTGATACAATAAAGTGACACATATCAATGATTGAGCAAATTATTTGACCAAATTTCCTTCTCCTCTCTAGAATGAAATGTATGCGAGGTCAGATTTCTCCTCCTTTTATATCCTTGTATATTTGCTGAGTTAAGAATGCTGCTAACCGTTTCCATCTGCAATACCACCATGATAATCAAGATGCAGAATTTTGATTTTGGACTAAAGTTCTCTTGGCTTACTGATCCTTCTAGTTTTATCACATTTGGCGTTTTATGTCGTTGTAGGTTGAAATTTGCTTGACTTCAAATATCAGGACTGAAACAATATCTTCTCTGGATATTCATCATTTTGGTGAGGTTTCTGATACTCTTTAGACTGTTTTCTGTTGTATCTAAATCTAAGAAAAACAGAAATGTACACCTTCAGTCCACTATCCTGTTATTACTTTCGAACTTTGAGACAGTTGTTTCCTTACTTAGGATATTAACTATTTAAACCAATTACATAACCCTTAGCTTTGACTTGCGCAGCTGATTTACATAATAGTGGACATCCAATTGTCCTGTGCACTGACGATTCAGGGGTGTTCTCTACCAGCGTATCTGGCGAGTACAGCCTTGCTTCTTCTGCTTTTGGTATGTATTATTTACTGCCAATATACCTAGTCGGCTTTTAGATTAAGCTCTCTCTAACTATTGTTTTACATCATAAAGGTATACAAAAGAGAGAGATGTTCCAGCTGGCTAGGAATGCCATTAATTTTATTTTTGCTGGTGACAAAGTAAAACAGGAGCTGGAACAATTTTTTGATTTAGCTGCAAAGAGCCTAGAGTTCTGATCAGAAATGTAGTATCAAGTGAACAGGAATCGTTTTCAGTCGTCATTTTTATTGTTATTGACTGAACGGGCTTCAATGAAGCGACATAGAAAGTGATGATTCATATAGCCGGCCCAACTTGTTTGGGATCAAGGCGTGTTGGTTGTGTCACTTGTATCTTCTGTAATATTTTTTGGTACCGTCTGAAGACTTTCAAATATGTATGTCAGTGTTGTATTTGGTATTACTTCTTGTTGTGTTGGAGCTTGATATTAGCTGGGATTAATTTTTCTGTCGAGTGCGTGAATAAAGTCCCATAATGGTAGCTGAAAAGATTGGGAACCTACATATAAAGTGTAGGGATCTCTTAATGGTGTGAGACCTTTTGAGGAAAATCATGCGGATCTGGCGAAAGCGGATAATAGTACATCATGTTAAGAGAGAGTATTTTTGGACTGACTTGGCCCAACATTTTCATTTTAGGTTTAAGCAAAATCATTATTGTGGGAATTGAATCAGAATACTATATATAAGTTTTTAAAGTAAAATGATGGAATAGCAGGAATAAACCATCAGGAATTCTTTGAAGAGACAACATATCAGGTAAAGGCAGTGATCTTACTAATTTTTTGGGACATAATGAACAGCAATGAACTTCAAATTTAGCAACCAAATTTTGGTCTTCTGCAAATGCATTGTGTAGTGAGTGATTGACAAGAATGATCCCATAAGGGATGGTCTTTAAATATTGCCTTCGTTTTTACATGTATTTAGAAAGGGACTTCCAGATCGGCTCGCACTTATTGCTCGTCAGGGATTTTCTATCGGATTGGTAGATTTATGGTATATTTATTGTATCTATTGTAAATTTCTAAAAATTCTACGCGGTTGGTAAGACTTTATGATAGTTCAATTGTTTACCAAACTCTACCAAGCTATATTTATTGTATCTATATTGTTATTCCCGTGATTTTGTGGTATCTATATTTAACATATTTGTTAAATTGTTCACAAATTCTACCCAATTGGTATTGGTATGATTTTTTGCTTGTTCAATTGTTTACCAAAGTTTATTAGACTAGCGTGACTTTGTGTTATATGTAATTGACCTATATGTTAAATTGTTCATCAAAGTCGATCGACATAATTTGTCTGTATTGTCAACCAAGTGTTCCTCAATTTTGCAATTTCAGTTTCGATCGGACCACCTGAAATCTGCTCTAAATAATCTTAAATTTGAATCAGAGCCTCCTGATCTCTCCCAACTCTAGTCCTAAAAAGGATAAGCGGTCGCTGCAATCTAAGAGTCTGGAATTGAATCCCACAGAGAACTAAGGTTTAGCTACAATTGTTCACTATCACTAAGAAGACAAGCTCGAACAATTCCTGAGTTATAAATATTAAGATTCTTATGTCTAACTAATTAACTAACAAAATAAAAATAGTAAATTAACAACTAGAGATGCTAAGGGTTGGAGACAAGATTAAGGAGGCCTAGAATTATGATTTTCTCAATTGTCAGAATCCTTCAGGCTACGTCTTTTATAATTTCGCGTAAGTATTCTCTACTGATCGTGAGCACTTCAGGTGTCGTAATTCTCTTCAGAGCAACTACAACAGTTTACTATACATATTCTCCCGAATCACGCAAGCTGGCATTATCTTACCGCTCACTATGACCACGTCAACGCTTTGTTATTCCCAAACCCACATTTAAACCCGCCGCATTGATTTCTCACATACGTTGGGAGTGACGTTGTTTAAACCTCCTAAATATGTACCATTTTCCAAGCAATACATAATAAATAGGTATAGTCAATTGATGACCATTCAATCAACTGGAATAAGCATGTAGTTAAACAAATAGAGACAATTCAAAGACTAAATTATATTAAAACATAACAAGAATTCATCCTCCAAAAGGTTCCATCAAAAGTCTAGATAGGAAATTAGCTACTCATAATAGTATATAAAACTACAATACTAGAATTCATAACCAGCAATGGAAATAGGAAGAAGAAAGTGAAAAATTCATAGAAGAATTCTCCCCCTTGCTCCTTGTATGTTCTTTTCTCCAAAATAATTCTAACTCCTCCAAAAACTGTTTAAGAAGGTGTTTATATAGTTTAGGGTTTGTATGGGATGTCCTTTCCAAGCCAAAGTCGGACAAGCTGTTACATGTTAGCTCGTTCACTCTCTTGTGTACACGCGAGAGTGAACGAGCGAAGTTCTTCTTTTTTTCTTTTCCTTCCAGCTCTCTCGTGTATTTCCTCGCCTTTTTTGCCTTAATCCATTATTTTGTTCAAGCTCCTCTTAGCTAGCTCGTTCACTTTCTTGTGCGCATGCGTGAGTGAATGGGCAAAGTTCTTCTTTTGTCTCTCCGTCCTTCATCGATTTCTTTTGCTCATCTTTCGTCCAACTCGCTCCTATACATAAGAATGCACGTAATGAGCATAATTCACTACAAAAACTCATGTAACCTTCCGCAATCACACAAGGTATGAGATGAAAGTACACCTAAAAATATGCATTTTTCGCAGTTTATCACCTCCAAATACCAACAGAAACAATCATCAATCACCAATTTAGTCAAATAACACCAAATCAACAAGACCTACTTTGACTTCTTCAACATTTTGTAAGGACCAATAATGAAATTTTGAGATTTTCAAAGTAAATAACTAAATCAGTGTTTGAACTAAAAATAAACACAAATTACCAATATTCAAATGATTTTAGCAATAATCAATCATCAACTTTCAGTTTCTACCCTAAATAAGAATTTCTAGCTTCTAATATTGAAGAACTATTGTGTTTTTTGGTGAAAACGATACCTAATTCGGCAATAAATTAAAAAATAGGAACAATATTTAAAGATTAATTCCTTATGGGGACAGTTTTGTATTGTGTAATGTAACATGTAACAAAATGCAAAAACACTCTGCACGAAGGAAAGTACTTCAATTGGCGGAAAGTAATCACACAGAACTTAGAGGCTTTCTCTTACGATGCCCTTTTAAGATATTTTAGGAAGGCACCGTATTGGGAATCGTGTCAGGCTAATAGAAGGGAAAAATATTTAAAAGAGAAAAGCAATAAATTGCACAAGATAAGACAAGGCAAGATTTACGTGGTTCGACAATTTTTGCCTACTCCACGGCCACATAAAAAATAACTCTTTATTAATAGAAGAGAAAGAAGAAGTTGAGGGATGATCTGCAAATGAAAATGCAGACCCCTTTTATAGACATTTGAATACCCTACCGATGTAAGCACTTACGTCATAAGAAAAGAATCATAAGAAAAGAATTCAACCTGCCGACGTAAGCGCTTACATCATAAGAAAAGAATTCAAAGATGAATTCTTCCGCCTATCATTTTTCTTCTCTCTTTGACTTTTTTTCTTTTGTTTTGTCTATTTTTGTTGCTTTCACATACAATACCAGGTTTGCTCCTATCAATCTCCCCCTCAAACCTATGTTACATCAAGAAAGAAATTAAAAAAGATTTGCTATTCTCTAGTGGCGCCTTCAGATTATCGGTCTTGAAGGCTAATTGAGGCGGTGCAGAGCCTCAGTTTGTCAACACTAACAACTTTGGTCAACATGTCTGACGGGTTCTTCGATCCTGGTATCTTCCGTAGGGAAAGAACTTCTTCACTTATCAACTCTCGGATATGATGATACCTCAACTGGATATGCTTCGATCTTGCATGAAACACTGGATTCTTGGCAAGATGAATTGCACTCTAGCCATCGCTGAAAAGCTCACAATTGTTCTGCTCTTTACCTAGCTCTTTAAGAAAATTCTTGAGCCAAATCATCTCTTTTCCAGCTTCTGAGATTCCCATGTACTCTGCTTCAGTGGTAGATAGAGGAACACTTTTCTGAAGTCTGGACATCCAGCTAACAGCAGCACCACCCAAGGTGAACACGTAGCTTGTGGTACTTTTTCGACTATCCAGATCGCCGCCTAAATTTGCATCAGTAAAACCTTGTAAGATAATATTGCTCTTTTTAAAACAAATTGCCATACCTTGAGGTGCCTTTGAGATATCGCAATATCTATTTTACACCTTCCCAATGCTCCTTTCCTGGATTTGACATGTATTTAGTAACAACTCCAACTGCATGGGTTATGTCAGGTCTAGTACAAACCATAACATACATCAAACTTCCTACTGCTGAAGCATATAAAACTTTAGACATGTACTCCCTTTTTTCATCTGTCTTAGGTGATTGGTCATTCGACAGATTAAGATGGCTTCCGAGTGGAGTGCTTCTAGTCTTTGCATCATGAAGATTGAACCTGCTTAGTACCTTCTGTATGTACTTTTTTTGAGACAATTTTAAGGTTCCTTTAGACCAGTTTTTGCTAATCCTCATCCCAGGTATTTGCTTAGCTGGTCCTAAGTCTTTCATTTCAAAATCCTTCGCCAGTTGTTGCTTAACCCTATTGATCTCATTTATACTAGATCTTGCAGTTAGCATATCATCAACGTACAACAGTAAAATGATATAGGATTCATCAAAATTTTTGATATAACAGCAATGGTCCATCTCATATCGTGTAAAACCATTGTTATGCATGAATCCATCAAATTTCTTGTACCATTATCGGGGAGCTTATTTCAAACCATACAAACTCTTCTTCAACTTACATACAAGGTTTTCTTTACCAGAAACTTGAAAACCTTCAGGTTGCTTCATGTAGATGACTTCTTCAAGATCACCATGCAAGAAAGCGCAGTTTTAACATCTAGCTGCTCCAAATGAAATTTTTTTGCAGCTACAATAATTAGCACCAACCTGATAGTGGTTACTTTGACTACAGGAGAGAAGATCTCGGTGTAGTCAATTCCTTCCTTCTGCTGAAAACCTTTTACTACTAATCGTGTTTTGTATCTCTTCTTACCGTCATGCTCTTCCTTGACCCTATACACCCGCTTATTTTGCAATGTCTTCTTTCCTTTTGGTAACTTTGTAAGTATCCATGTTTTATTATTTTGAAGAGAATTCATTTCTTCTTTCATGGCTAGCTTCCACTTATCATAGTCTATCACATGCATTGCTTCAACAAATGCTTTGGTTCTCCAGCATCAGTCAGAAGTAAATAGCGAAGAGAGAGAGAGAGTTAACCTATATGGAGTATTCGTGACTCTTTTAGATCTCCTTAATGTAGGTTCAAGAGTAACTGATCACGAATTTGATTCAAATCCCGACTCCAGATTTGGTTCTGCATTTGATTCTATCTCTGGTTCCGATTCTGGTTCTGATCTAGATTCAGCTTCTGGTACTTCATCTTCAATTTTAGAATCATTTGTAATCCCTCTAGCCACTTCATTTCTGAGATTTCTTCTAACTCAACTGTTTCAGATGTCTGTTTGCTGGTGCTGGTTGGTTATACTTCAAGCTTGTCCTTGTACATCACATTTTCATTAAATATGAAATTCCTGTGTCTTAGGATCTTTCTATTCTGATCATCCCAAAATCGCTAACCAAAATTATCATCACCATATCCAATAAAGAACTTCTTGGCTTTAGGATCAAGCTTATCTCTATCATTAGAGTTTACATGCACATAAGCAACACAACCAACAATTTTCAGATGTGAGAGAGTTACCTCCTTTCCTGTCCATACCTCCTCGAGAATTTCAAAATTTAGCGGTACAGAGGGTCCCCTGTTTATGATGTAAGTTGCTGTGTCAACAACCTCAGCCCAAAAATACTTCGGCAATCCAGAATGTATTCTCATAGTTCTGGCTCGTTCATCCTCTCAGCAACACCATTTTGTTTCGGTGTTCCAAAAACTGTCTTAATCATTTTGATCCGATTCTCAGAGCAGAATGCTTTAAACTCTTGAATAACATACTCTCCTCCTTTTCAGACTTCAGACATTTTTACTTTAGACTTGTCTGATTTCAACTTCAGCTTTCCATCTTTTAAAGGTAACAAACACATCAGATTTATTTTTCAGAAAATAAACACATACCTTTCTTGTGGAATCATCAATAAAGGTGACATAATAGCGTGAGCCTCCCAGAGAAGTTACAGGAGTTGGTCCCCACACATCTGTATGCACTAATTCCAGCTTCTCTTTCTTTGGTGTCCTTTCCGCCTTTGAGAAACTAACTCTCTTTTGTTTTCCGTAAATGCAATATTCGCACAAACCTAATTCAACATGTTTTAGGTTTGACAACTTTTCTTTGGATGCCAACAACTTCATTCCCTTCTCACTCATATGCCCGAGCCTCCGGTGCCACAATGTTGTATCACGACCATGATCAACTATTGATATAGTATCTCTCTGTATTGCGGTTGCATACAGTGTTCCCTTCTTGAAACCTCGTTCCACAACCAAATTTTCTTTGGTTATCTTCCAAGACCCGTTATCGAATATTGTTGTATATCCTTCACTGTCAATCTGACCCATAGATATCAAATTTTTCTTGAGGCCAGGAACATGTCGGACATTTTTCAATTTCCATAGCATGCCTTGTGAAGTCTTTATATGAACTTCACATTTCCTGACAATGCTAGAGGTTCGCCATCTGCTAGATAAACTTTCCCGAAATTTCCAGCAATATAATTATGCAATAATTTTTTGCATGATGTAGAGTAAAAGGATGCACCTGAGTCCAGAATCCAAGATTCGACTGGACTGTCTGCATAATAAATTAGTGCATCACTGACTTGTTCAGCAATTACTTTTGCTGAATTTTCTTCCTTATTCTTCTTTGGTTCTCTACATTGACTACTGTAGTGACCCTTTTTATCGCAATTCCAACAAGTAATGTCCTTGCGATTTTTGGATTGCTCTCTTCTCCTTGACTTTGATCTCCCACGACCATGAATTTGTCCTTTTTGGTTGCTTCTCCCCCTGCTTTCGGTATTAAAAGCATATCCTGGGGAATCACTTGATTCTCTTCGGTAAATATCTTTGCTTAGAACCAAGTCTCTAATATCATTCAATTTGAGTTTGGTACTTCCCGATGAACTGCTAACCGCATTTACCGTTGTAGACCAACTCTCTGGTAGAGATGATAGTAAATCAATGCCCTGACTTCGTCATCAAATGTTATATTAACAGAACTCAACTGAGTTAACATTATATTAAACTCATTGATATATTTCGTGACAGATCCACCTTTTTTCATCTTTAAGTTGAACAATCGACGCATCAAATAGACTTTATTTGAAGCAGATGGCTTCTCGTACATATTTGATAAATCCTTCACCAGGCCTACAATGGTCTTCTCGTTAATGATGTTAAATGCCACATTTCGTGTTAGCATCAAACGAATCACACCAAGAGCTTGGCAATCTAATAGATCCCAATCAGCTTTGGCCATGTTCTTTGTCACGACTCAACTTTCCCTCTGTTTGGGTATCGTGATGGCACCTAGTCTTAGGGACTAGGTAAGCCTAACTCATACTGAAATACCACAATAATAAATGAAATTTAACAGTCTTGAAGCAGAAATCTCTACAAAATTTATAATTTCCAGAACCCGGTAGTACAAGTCATAAGCTCTACAGAGTTTCGCTAAAACTTCTAAACACAACCGTATGGAAATAAGTACAACAGTGTGAATATAAAATTGGAAGGTGACTCCGAAGCCTGCGAACGCAGCAACAGGTTTACCTTGAGTCTCCTCGGCAAGAATCCGCTCAGCTACTAACGATCAATACCTGGATCTGCACAAAAATGTGCAGAAGTATAGTATGAGCACACCACAGCGGTGCCCAGTAAGTATCAAGACTATCTTTGGTGGAGTAGTGACGAGGAACAGTCAAGACACCCACTGGTCTAATAAGCAGAACAAGTATAAGTATAGAAACAACCGAACAGGATATCTATATAAAGACTAAGCGATATTGCTAACAATACAAACTACAATAAGGAAAGAAAATAGCAAGTAACAGCGGAACACCATAATAAAGCTCATAAAAGTGAAAGAAAATACAACCCAAATTCGAAATCACAAATACAATAAGGACAAGTCATAACTCAGCAACTACGGCAGCTTTCACATTAGGTCATAGCCAACAACTTCAATCAATTAGTCAAATCTTTCAGTTGATAAAAACATTTCGAATTATACTTCCTTCAAGTAAATATTTTTCCAAAATAGTTCTCTAAAAATGAATACCTTTCAAATATAACCCTTTCAAATAAATATCCTTCGAATATAAGTCACCCTCTGACACCTCATCTCATAATCATACAATACGGGTCTCAATACCTGAACTCTAACACTTGGCATCATGTGCCCTCATCACACCTCATAATCATACTGACAACTCACGTGCCCAAAAGAGTCATTATCACATGGAAGGAAAATAAACAAGGGTGTGCGTCAATACTCAGAAATCTCAAGGAGCCTCTTATCCGATAAGGGTGCTTAGCCACGTGTATGCTTGTGCAAGTGTCCGAACATAATTCATACCAGCTAGTAAGCATAAGGACAAGAACGGACAGCACATATACTGTTTACACAGGGATAGGATCAATGAAAACAACAGCTTAGAACACAGTGATAATAACAGAGGATCTCCCAGGATACCGTCCCGTAGTCTCAAACGTAAATGTACAGAGGATCTCCCGAGATACCATCCCATAGTCCAAATCATAAATGTGCAGAGGGATCTCCCGGGATACCGTTCCGTAGTCCCAAAGTAAATATCCAGTACAGGGGGATCTCCCGAAATACCGTCCCGTAGTCCCAAACATAAATGTGCAACGGGATCTCCCGGGATATCGTTTTGTAGTCCCAAAGTAAATATGCAGAACAGGGGGATCTCCCGGGATACCATCCCGTAGTCCCAAACGTAAATGTGCAGGGGGGTCTCCCGGAATACCGTTCCGTAGTCCCAAAGTAAATATGCAGCGCAACCAAAGAGAATACAATTACAGCACGACAGAAAACTCGTACATCACCACAACGCGTACAACAGCAACAATGACAATAATACAAGGTACGACAAGTAAGTCAACTCAAGAACTGTAAATCACAAAGAAACGGTAGGACCAGCTCACAAGGAATAACCACAGAAAAGAATGGTGGCATAAAGTGAACAGTTCAACAAAGGGAAAACTAACATGTAGCAACGATCCCACGATACACAAGTAAATAACAAGGGAATCAACACGAGTCAAGTAGTCCCAAATAAAGGCAAGTTAACAAAGATATGGGTTATCTAAACTCCTTTTTAAGGTTGAACAAATACGAGGATATCCGACAATTCAATTAAGGAAAGATGATCTTAGCTTCACTTAAGACTAAACAATTATAGGAGGAGATGATGATAAATTCCCAATTAAGACAAGCAGCTATGAAAAGATAGCATGACAATTAGAGAAGCGAAATTCTTCAGTTAAGTCAAATAGGAGTCGATTAGGCAATAAGAGTGAATCATGAAGCAATTAATTTCAGTTAAGCATGTAGAGGTGAGACTAGTAAATAGGAAACCCAGTCATGTCAAGAATACATTCATACACAGTGAATATAAAGACCTAAGAACCCTAAAGGCCAATTTTTCACAAATAAGTCCGAGCACGCACTCGTCACCTCGCGTACACGAACTACAATCAACATTGAAGACTCAAATCCTAAGGGGAAGTCCCCCACACAAGGTTAGGCAAGATACTTACCTCGACTTGCTCCAATTTAATCCACTAGTAGGCCTTTTTCCTCGATTATCCAATTCTGAATGGCTCGAATCTAGCCAAAATAATTCGATACAGTCAATAAAATTTATAGAATCAATTTCATAAGAAAATACTACATTTTTCAATAAAAATCCGAAATTAACTCAAAATTCACCCATGGGGCCCACATCTCAGAATCTGACGAAAGTCACGGAATATGAAAGCCCATCCAATCACGAGTCTAACCATACCAAAATTACTAAATTCCGATAACAATTCGACCCCCAAATCCTCAAATCTATCAAGAGGGTTTTCAAACTTTTCCAACTTAAATCACAGATTAAATGCTAAAATTAGTAATAGATTCGGGTAATCTAACCAAAATTGAGTTAAGAACACTTACCCCGTTGTTTTCTCAGAAAATCCCTCGAAAAATCGCCCCACCTGAGCTTCCTTGGTCCAAAAATGGAAGAATGGGACGAATTTGGACTTTATTCTGCTGCCCAGGGGTTTGTTCTTCGCGTTCGCGACCCTTCACTCGCGTTCGCGATGAACAAATTCCTCACCAACGATTTCCAAACTCATTCCAGACAGCCTTTAGTATAATGGTCATAACTTTTTGCACACAACTCCAAATGACAAATGGTTTGATGTTCTGAAAACTAGACACCAAGGGATATAGTTTCATAGGTTGCTCATTTCTTGAGTCATTATATATTGCGAGATATAAGCTTCCAAAGTCACTCCTGTGCAGCAGAGTTTTTCAAACTCTCCCCGGACAGCCTGTAGTGTAACTACCATAACTTTTTGTACACAAATCTAAATTCCAATTAATTTACATTTCTAAAAATTAGACACAAAGGGTTACAACTTTTATTTTTGGATCATCTCCAAATTCCTTATAGATTGTGAGATATGAGCCTCCGAAGTCAAACCTGTGCAAACGAGATTTCCTTCTTCGCGAACGCGAGAGTCTCTTCGCGAACGCGAAGAACAAACTTCCAGAAGCCAAATTCTTCTTCGCGTTCGCGAAGAACAACACCAGATATCAGAAAATCAGCATCCAAAGTAGCCCAAAATGATCCGAAACACACCCGAGTCCCCGGGGACCCCAACCAAATATACCAACAAGTCCTAAAACATGATACGAACTTGGTTGAAACTTCAAATCACATCAAACAACGCTAAAACCGCGAATCACACCCCAATTCAAGCTTAATGAAACTAAGAACTTCCAACTTCTATATTCGATGCCGAAACCTATCAAATCAAGTCCGATTGACCTTAAATTTTGCACACATGTCATAAATGACATAATGGAGCTAGGAAAATTTTCAGAACTGGATTCTGACCCCGATATCAAAAAGTTAACTCCCCGGTCAAACTTCCAAACTTAAATTTCCTATTTTCGCCATTTCAAGCCTAATTTAGCTACGGACCTCGAAATAAATATCTGGACACACCCCTAAACCCGAAATTATCATACGGAGCTATTGGAATCATCAAAAATTCATTCCGGGGTCGCTTACACATATTTCACCTTCCGGTCAAATTATTCAACTTAAGCTTTCTTCTTGGAGACTAAGTGTCTCAATTCATTTCAAAACCTCACCGGACCCGAACCAATTATCCTGGCAAGTCACATAACAACTGTAAAGCATGAATTTAGCAGTAAATGGGGAAACGGGATTGTATTATTCAAAATAACCGGCTGGGTCGTTACATTCTCTGGTTTTACTTCGGTCAGAGGTAAGTGTAATTTTTTCTGGTAAAAGTAATCCTCTATTTGCATTTTTCAGAATCCAAAATCTTTGCTATTAAACTTGTTAATCTTAACCTTCCGTTCTTTCGATGTCATTTTTCACATTTTTTTTATGTGAATAGTGCCTGCACCAATAACGTACTTTTCTACCAGAATTACACTGTCTGTGCTCTGATACCAGTTGTTGGGAAGTATGTTAGGCTAATAGAAGGGAAACATTATTTAAAAGAGAAAATCAATAAATTGCACAAGACAAGACAAGATAAGTGTATGTGGTTTGGCTATTTTTGCCTACTCCACGGCCACACAAAGAATAGCTCTTTATTAATTGAAGAGAAAGGAGAAGTTGAAGGATGATCTGCAAATGAAAATGCAGACCCCTTTTATAGGCATTTGAATGCCCTGCCGACGTAAGCACTTACATTATAAGAAAAGAATTCAACCTGCCGACGTAAAACATTTATGTCATAATAAAGGTATTCAAAGATAAATTCTTTCTCCTATCATTTTTCTTCTCTCTTTGACTTTTCTTCTTTTGTTTTGTCTACTTTTCTTTCACATACAACAACAGGTTTGCTCCTATCACGCGTAACCATACATATGTATGTATATAAGTCTGCGTAAATTTTAGTTTGATTGTTTTTAGATAATATATGCTTTCATTGCGAGTTTGGTTATGGTTGCATCTAGTTCCACTGCTACAACATTATGCAAAAGCCTTAGCTTTCTACAAAAGCATGTCTATAAACATTATTATTAGACCAGAGATTGTTTGGTCCTCACTCAAAGCAAAAACAATCTCAACAATAACAACAACCTAAACTTTAATCTTTTTCACGTACACATATATAAGATAATTCTAAGGGTGTGTTTGGTATGAAGGAAAATATTTTCCGGAAAATGTTTTCCAATTTTCCCATGTTTGGTTGGCTTAAAGGTTTGAAGGAAAATATATATATATATTCAGTTTTAGTTTTTTCATCTTTCGTTTTATAGGTTCGAAATTTTACAAGTTTCAAAGTTTATGAGTTCGGAGGTTTATGTGTTTAAAAGTTTACGGGTTTAGAAATTATAAAGTTTACGGGTTCAAAAGATCGCGATTCGAAAGTTTAGCGGTTCGGAAGTTTATGAAATTTGTGGGTTCGGAAGGTTGTTGGTTCGAAAGTTTATGGTTTCATGTTTATTGTATCTAAATTATTTATGAATACTCTCGAGAAGTTATTTTCCTTAATTTGCGTACCAAACACCGGAAAATGAATAAGATTACTATTTGTTTTTCAAGAAAACATTTTCCGTTATACCAAACATACTCTAAATCTCTACTGTTTTACTGGTAGGCCTAAATAGAGGTTCTCTTAATCACTTTTAGCACATTGGTTTCTGTTTTCCATTTGACAAGCAATCAGAAATTCTTATCAAAACTCACTTTTGCTTCCTTATATTTTTCAAACATAAAAAATTACAGAAGACAAATATCCTTCACATCAAAAGTCAAAACTCTTACATTTGTTACATTTTTGAAACATCAAAAAGTACAGAAGTCTACAATCAGCAATAAGCTAAAGGCTGTTATTTTCTGCTTTCCTTGGCAGGACAAAATTTGTAAACAGTACAAAGGTGATTCATCTCATGACACACAATTAGTTTCTGTTAACTCCTTGAGACAGAACTCATCAGCACTATCCAGCTCTAGTTCTGTTGTGTTGGCGTCTTCATCTTTTGGCATAGCTAAGTACTCAAGAGCAGTAACAACATCACAAATCAGAGGTCTAGTGTTGGCTTCATCTTGGAGACACATATTTGCGATTGCAAGAGCTTGACGAAGTCCCTTTACAGGGTAATTTCCTCCTAGCAATGGGTCAGCCATTTCGTCGAGCCTATTCTTGTCTTTGAAAAGTGGTTTGGCCTGCAAAAGTGATAAAAATGATAATTAACCTGCTATCACATATTGAAATTCATTGACCCTGTATAAAATCTTTATACTGGCAGTATATATAACTTATATCCCGATACATATGCAGCTAACAGTAGAAAGGATTCAACATAACAAGCACAAAAATCAAACATCTGTTCTCTATACAAGACAATAGGGTCGGTTCGATTACTAAGGAGGGGAATGGACCAATCCAAACGCTCGACCCCGGGGCTGTTCCGGCCCCCCACTTTTGCAACCGGGGACCAATCCAAAAAGTGAAGTTCATTCACATCCGATAAAAGTGAAAGGATACAAAGAAGAGTAGCATGGCCCCTGCGCAAGGATGACATGCACAAATTGAGAAATAGTCCTTAAGAGTGGAAAAAGAAATATATTCTTTGACTTTCTCCTTACAGAAAACATAAAAAGGTAGTGAAATCACACCACAAAAATGGGGTTAGGAGCCGGGAGTTGACCCTCATTTCCCACTAGAAACTTAGAGGCTGGGCCGGCATAGTCTAGCCTGGTAGAGAATTATAGTCCCCATGATACACTATTATATACACTTCTGCCAAAAGTAGTGAAATTTTACATTAACCAAAGGGTGTTAGGAAGACGAAAGTTCGACAGCATAAACTTCAGTTTTTAAACCATCCAAGCTAAAGAAAATATAGAAGAAATATTTAAGATTATAGTAATGCATCTTAGCTATAGCAGAAGAAACAGAAGGAAGGGATGTCTTATCATTGTTGTATTATTCAAGCTAAATCATTTTAGGTGTGGAAAACTAAACTGTCTACTTCTTTTCAGTGCTAGTGAAGATGCCAAAACAGTAAACTAATTCAATATGAAAGAGTTAAGGAGAGCTAACAACTTCATTAACTAACCCAAGAAATCAAGTTTTGCTCCTCTGGTGATCTTGTATTATCGATAGCTCTTCTCCCTGAAATAATCTCCAAAAGAACAACTCCAAAACTATATACATCAGATTTAGATGTTAGCTGTCCAGTCATAGCATACTCTGGTGCACAGTATCCATAGGTCCCCATAACTCTTGTAGAAACGTGATCCTCACCTCCTGTTGGACCTAACTTTGCAAGACCAAAATCCGAGAGCTTAGGAATAAAGCACTCATCTAATAATATGTTGGATGCTTTGAAGTCGCGATAGATTATTGGAGGATTGGCTATATCATGCAAGTATTCTAGCCCTTGCGCTGCGCCTTTAGCTATCTTCATTCTTGTGTACCAATCCAATGGCTTCTTATTCGATGGCAAATCTGTGAGAAGACATATTAGTATGTTGCAACGATCTTCTTTGACAATTCTTTTGAGGGAAAATTACATATTGGGGCCGTCCTAAAAAATGATAGCCGGAAAATGTATATGTTTTGTATATTAAGAATGAATATACATACAATATACATTTTATGTACAGAATCAGTGTGTATATGTTTTGTATATTTGATAAAAGGATGCATACCAAGAAGATGATCTTCTAAAGATCCATTGTGCATGAATTCGTAGACGAGAATTCTTTGGTTGCCATCAGCACAATAGCCTATCAGATTGACAAGATTTGGATGGTTAACAAGACTTAAAGTCAAGACTTCTGCAAGAAATTCCCTGTTTCCTTGAACTCCATTCCTGTCGAGTTGTTTGACAGCAACAACCTGGACATGAAACACATTTGATGAAGAAACTGAAACAGTTGTTTACAACTAGATAATAACCACAAGAGGTAGAGATAAACGACAGAAGAAAATCACATACTTGATTAGTTCTTTTGAGGTGTCCCTTATAGACTCTCCCGAATCCTCCTTCACCTACTAGAAACTCAGGATTGAAGTTGTCTGTTGCATGAGCCAACTCGCGGAATGTGAATACTTCTGCTGAAATGTTTACATTCCCATATCGAAGTATGTCTTCAGCTATCATCTTCTGCTTGCTGACACCTGCTCAGATATCGAATTTCAACACGTTTATGCACTATTTATTTGTGAAGAAAAATCGCAACAAGTTAAAACTGGACACATCTTTGAAAGAATCAGGGCTAGACATAGCTGCACTTATAGTAAAGTTTCGCTCAACATTGTAACCAAGGAAAGATTATGTCATTATAATTGTCAATTATGCCGTATGATGTGATTCATAACTTGTATATTTGAACACCAGGATTTATTTTTAAGAATCAAAGGCTACAAACAACTCCTCATTAATGGGTATTTAGGATACTACTATAACAGCAATTAAGCCCAATCCCAAGAAAGTTGGGGTCGGCTACATTAATCATCAGTACGTCCATGTCGTTCCATTTAAGTCCGTCTCAGCCATTATTATATAACATAAACGTAATACCAATATAGTTTCTCTACTTGTAGAAGTTCTCTACATATGCTACGGTCATATAAATCTCCGACAAGATTAAAAAAGACTCCTAGAAAACATTGTACCTAAAGTAAACATACTATTAAAACTTAATCTCAGCTAATTGGTATTCCCTATATAGATCTTTTTCTTCTGACTGCACTTTTTTTTTTTTTCTACATGGATTCCAAGAGATGGTAGGTTTTTTGAGATAATTTTCTTCGATTTTAGGTCTATCTCATCCCCTTTTAGCACCTTCATTAATTATGGTTTCACACCTACGATCAAACTTACTCAACTGACCTTCTCTCAGTCTATCCTCTATGTGCACTACCTGCACCTTGTGCTGAACGTGCTATTTAAAATGTATTGTGAAAAGATTGATTTTTGTATTTAGGACATTTATACCAAAAAGCCTTTCAGGTAGCTTGACACATTTATTATGACAAAAAAGGCTTAGTGCATCATATATGTTCAGAGATCAGTAAGAGAAATTTCAATATAAGATCTTATAAATATCTAGATCATTGTGTATTCTCAACCGACCCCAGTATATTCTACACATAACATAAATATATATATATATATATATATATATATATATATATATATATATGAAAAATTACTAAAATTCCGATAATATTATATTTCAAACCCAAAATTGTAAAGTGTAATTGAAACGGTAAGAACTCAAACTGTTGAACCAATCAAGTTTAAATTCTAGATCCGCTTCTACATAAAAATAATGGAGAAATTGAGATATCTCAACCTGGATGCATAGTAACACTTCTAAGAATGGTGGCCAAGCCATCTGAATCATCATATTTGTTGGAAGTCCTTGTCTCATTCACAGAACTCCTAGAGGATTTTAATTGAGTCTTCCTCATTTTTGTAGCTTCTGCAAAATAAAAATTGATCAACTCCTTCCCTTGTCCCTTCTATTTGGTAATTTAGCAAGATAATTCTTTTATGCCTTGCAATTTACCAACTAAAATTCTTGAATCTTGATGTTCATTTCTCTTTCACTCCAAATTTTTTTTAGAGAAATGAATCTAAAATATAGAAGGGAAGGTGAAGAAATTGATCCAACTTCAATGAAAAAAGGAGCCTGGAAATTTTAACATAAAATCAGACTAGTATTTTTCATTTTAATTGAAAATTTCAGAGAATTAGATGTAGATTGAATGATATTAAGACTCGTGTCATTGGGACAAAGGAAAGAGAAAATTTTATCCGATATTACTGGACCAATATATGTAGTTTGAATGGAGTATGGAGTTTAAGGTATGTTCTTTCTTAACTAACTTTTGGATATATTAACAACTAACTTTTGCCAGGTGATCCTCAATTTTTATCATTTTTCTACACATTGCTCCACTGGTAAATATAAGTCTTCTTCTGGTATATGTTATTTAACTCCAAATTTTTTCTTTAGGTATTTTACTTGGAGTTTGATTTTTCGTTATTTCTAATAGTGCAAGGAACATTAACACTTATTGAGATGATAATTAAGACTATTAGTGTTCTCGACGTCTGAATGATCTTTGTCTAAAATTAATAAATATAGAATTTAAAAATAGGTAAAATACATAGTTTACCCATCGACCTTGTACTTAAATCCCTCTTACACACCTGTTCATCACGGGGATAATATTACACACTCAAACCTTTTAAAAGTGTGTCACCAACACACCACTTTAGCTCGCTTGTTCTTCACATCAAACAGGCACGTTAATGCTAAAAACTTCATTTCAAAAGTTTTATAAAGAATCCACGTATCTAATTTTTAATTTTTTTTTTCCTTTTTACACCAATTAACAAATTAAAAAAAAAAAGAAAAAATAACCCCTCCCGCTCTTGTCTTCTTCCCCACCCCAACCCCCCATCCCGTGTGTCTTCTTCCCAATTCCAAACCTCCCCACCTGCATTATATTCTCTAGATGCCTTTCCCCCCTTCGTCTTCTTCCCCCCCCCCCCCCCCCCCCCCCCCCCCCCCCCCCAAGGTTTCTTCCCTCCCTTTATTTCGCTTCTTCCCCGATTCAACCTTCTCCCATTCTACTTGTTTTTTTGGTTGCTCAAGATCCGAAATTTTTCCGAAAGATTCTTGGTGGCAGTTGTGTCAGTGAGAAGGGCAGAATTGCAGAAGAAGTTACATTTTCAATTTTTTGTTTTGGAATTTTGTTGACAAAGTGGCTTTTGTGGTTCTTTCAATTGTGCCAAATAAAGATCTGGAAATTTTCTTTTTCGTTATTTTCTTTTGGCTCATCCTTATTGAGTTTAAAAGATAATGCCAGAAAAGAAAGGATAGTCAGAGATGGAGTTTCAAGTAAATTTCCGGCCGGTGAAGTTCTTTGGATATGTTGTTTGTGTGTCTATTTGGTTGTTGGAACTAGTGTTTTTGTGCTAACTATGGTAGAGTATTTTTTTTTACAAAGAAGAAGGGGTTGCATGGTGGAGAAGGTGGTGTAGTGGTGGGGAAGGTGGTGCACTGAATGTTGGATTTTTTTATTTGAGCGGGTCGTATCTTTAAAAGGGTTGGGTGATTAAAACGGTCCTTTTAATTTAGAGACGCGCGTGTTATACACAGCACAGACTATTACTTGGACTGGTCAAAAATGGTGTGTTGTTGACACACTTTTAAAGGTTTAAGTGTGTAATATTATCCCCGTGATGAACATCTGTGTAAGAGGGATTTGGGTACAAGATCGATGGGTAAACTATGTATTTTGCCTTAAAAATAAATAAATACTATAGTTAACAAAATATTAGAAAATTTGTCATTTATACGATATTGTAAAACCCTTTTATTTTATTTAACACGCTCTAAAAATTAGCGGGATGGCTATTGTTTCCGGTGGTCATCGGCCTTATGATTATGATGTGATGGCTAGTATGGGTGTTTACCGGACGGGCAGGACCAGGCTGGTCACGGAAAAAATAGCCCAACTAGTTAGTGGGCTGGGGTTCCGGGCTGGTAGTGGGCTAGGAAAATCCGGGCTCTATTGGACCCGTCCGGGTTTGGGCTTATCCGGTTCGAACCGGGGGGGAAAAAAAAATAATATATATATATAATATATATATATATATATTATATATATATATATATATATATATATATATTATATATTATATATATATATATATATATATATATATATTGTGTATTATGTTTCCTTGTTCATTGTAATTGATACTTAAGTGCTTGCAAAATTCTAATGGCAAAATAAGTATTTTAAGACATAAAATTAAACTTTAAAGTTGAAAGTGTTAAATTTGAAATTTGAATTTTAAACTTTAAAATTGAGACTAAGTGGCTACATAAAATTATTTAATAGGACCACTATGTAAGGATCAAACTTCAAAGGTTTCATTTCATATTTTCATTGCATAATAATACTTCAAATTAATCTGTAAGTTCTATTTTGATTTTAATTTTATTTTGGACTTGCAAATTAAAAGTTTACATTTTACGACGATTCAATGTTTAGTGTTAACACTGCAAAATACGAGTGAGAAAAATAATTTAATAAACTAACACACTAAGCTTAAATAAGTCTAATAAATTCTAAATAACACAAATGATCTCAAATCAACTTAAATACGAATTCCTGGAAGACGATAGACAACCCTTGATATGCTTCCTTAAACCATATGTGCCCTCCTACTTTCGATGAATATTATAGACTCGACCACAGTTCTTTCACCCTACTTTGCGAACTTCTTCATTTTCTTCTACCACCTCAAAATATCCCCAAATATGTGAGCGCACCCTAGAAGCACGAGGCATGACTGAACTTGAACCTAAAAAAATGGTAACCACACTTCACTTGATAATTGTAATTTTGTGGTGGCTACCATAAATAATTGATAAAACTTGAAATAATAATTAATTGAGAACTTGAGAGCAATAAGCAATTCAATAATCAAGAGGGAATTGAGAGAGAATTAGAATAGAAGAAGAGAACAAGTTGTGAGAGAAAAATGAAGAAGATGGGGCTATTTATAGCTTTTAAAAGTCTAAAAATATAATTTACCAATTATTAGGGGTGGAGAGCTATTTTAGTAAGGGGTAGGCCGAAATGGCTAAAAATGCAAAAGATGGTCGTTGCACAACGGTCATTTTTTTTATTTTTAAATTTGCAACGTAAATCGGGCTGGAACTGGCTTAAAACCCGTGAACGGGTTACCGGGCTAGCCGAGTTTCGGTGCACCGGTAGCCTAAAAAGGCCCAACTCCGTTCGGAACAATCTCTTACCCTTGCCAATCCATCCCATCCTTTACCGGACCGGACTGACCCGGACAGAACCGGGTCAAATCGGATTATTGGTGGACCGGCCCGGCTTGATTAACACCTTCAATGGCTAGTAGTGGTTGTGGTCGATGAAAGTAGCTAGTGCTTATGGCTATGTGATTGTGGTTAGATGTGATGACTAATAGTGGAATTGGTTATTGTTGGCGGTTAGGTGTGAAATCTAGCGATGGAGGTGGTTGATGGTGGAGACTATAGGTTAAGGTGGTTGGTCGTGGTGGGGGTGGTGGCAGGCAATAGAGATGGCTGATGGTTATAATTGGCGATGGTGGTGGTTATGCAATGGAGGTTGATGAAGGTGGTTGGTAGTAATTGTTAATGATGGAGGTAGTTTGTAGTGGTAGTTGTGCGGTGGTAACAAACGGTGGAGGTGATTGATGGTGGTAAAAGTGTGGTTGTAGTTAACAGTGAAGGCTGGTAAATTTTGAAGGGGGATTTAATTTTTAAGACACTTCAAAGCTTATATCAATTTTTAAAACAAAAGTGTTAAGAATGGGTTAGAAGGGACACTTTTGTGATTAGGGTTAATGACATAATTTTTAAACCCCCAAAGTTTTCTTATTTACAAAAAGTCCCCCTCCTCCTCCACCCCCTATTCCTCCTCCCCTCCTCTTCCCGCCACTCCTCCTTCTCTCCTTGTTCCTCCATCTCGCAGCGCTCCTCTCTATCCCCCGCCACTCCTAATCCTCAAACATTTAGGAAGATGTTTCAAATATATAGAGAAATGTTTCAAACATCTGCACACATCCGCACAAAAAAAAAAATAGCTCGTTTTTACATTTTTGTCTTTAATTTTTAGTTTATTCATTTTTTTCTCTTTTAATTTAGAATTAAATGATTTTTATATTTTTATAATTAGTTAAATAGTTTAGTTTCACATTTTTAGATAATTTAGGATTTTTAGTTATTAGGATTTTTTTTAATTAAAAAAAAGAAAAAGAAAGGAAAAGGAAAATAAAGAGAGATTTGAAAAAAAAGAGTGTTATTGGGTTAATTTCACAATCAAGACTGGACCAAGCTAGCCCAATTCACGTCCACAACCCAAGCCCAAACAATTAATCCACCCGGTCCAGACCCACATGAAGCCAAACGACCCCGTTTTGGTAACACTTGATCACAGCCGTTGGATTTTAATCATCCAACGGCTCGGAACTCACAGTTCACTTAGTATAAGACTGTCCGAAGACCGGACCCCCCCCCCCCATCAGACCCCTCTCCTCACTTCATCTCTTTTCTCTCAATTAACAAACCCTAGCCGCCTCGTATCCCCACGCCGCCTCCACCGCAAACCACCGCCGAAAATCGCCTACGGCGATTCCGTTGGTCCAATCTTCCCTAAAATAACACCCTGAAACCCCCTTTACATCCTCAATCCATATCTCCAGTCCTCTCCCTTCGAATCATGCCCGAGCTTTTCGAATCTTAAATCAAAAGTTCGGACCAAAAACTTAGCTGTCCAAAAACTCACCAAATTAACACCATGAATTCCCCATCCCTTCCTCATCACGAATCTCCAATTAGTTTTCCTCAAATCATCGCTGAATTTTTCGAATCTTAGATCGAAAATCCGGCCAAAACCCTAATTGTTCCAAACCACTCCAAAATCACACCTCACCTTCCTCACACCCCTCTAAGCCCTAAACTACCGTTATTTGCCAAAACCCCAGCTTTGGTTTCGTTAATTTTGGACCAATTTCTGGAACCCTAATTTCGCCCTTGGTCTCTGATTTGGGTACGCGAAGAATGGTCCTTTGGACCCATGACTTACATCAGTCGATTGCTTTTGACAAGAGCAATCGATTGATGTTAGTTTAGGTTTATTTTACCCCATCAAGTTGATGTAACGATCCGGCCGGTGATTTTTGAAATTTACGCC